TTAAATATTGATTCATATGGATTCATATTGAGCTCTCAGGATTTCATCCTACTTGGAATTACCCATTCGGTTTACCAAGTTCTTTCTTATATATATATATATATATATATATATATATATATATATATATATATATATATATGACAAGTTTTATTAAATTCAACCAACAAAGTCTGTCTGTTTAAATCTTATTGCGTTTTTACAATTTTCAAATAGCTTGTTGCACATACGGATCAAATTTGTGGTTAAACTGTCCAAAGTTCATTTTTTTTTGTTCTATTTATGTTTGAGTACGTTCGACTGTCTCACAGAGTCACATATAGTTTGGAATTCAAAGTTACCCTTCTTCTATCCTGGCTATCAACAATGGCCAGAGAATCTAGTCTGTCCTGCTACTTAATCCATAGCACATAGTTAGCAAAAAATTACCGACCCTTGACTCAGAGCAACAGAAGACAATTATGGAGAGCTATGATCGACCCCGTTGTGAAGAAACGTGGCATATAAAAGAACCTAGAGGAAAAAACTACATTTCGAAAATGACATATTTTTTTATTATTTTTTAATAATTACACTCCAAGGAAGGTACTAAAGCCACAAAGATGCAAGAGGTTCTTGAATGTGACAGAATATGAGAAAAATCATTATTAAGGAGAAAGGACAAGAAAAGAACAGGATTCGAGGAAACGGTTGGCATTGCATTTAAATCTTTGAAGATCATAGTTGACAAGAAAAGTAATAAACTGTTAGCATAGAACTTACAGTTGCATCTAGCAATTTCAACAGTAAAATAATGAGACCTAGCTGCCAATCTAGTACTGCGCTTAAATTCGTAAAATTGAGGTATTGAAGAGGAAAGAAAATAGCTACCAGGAATATATTTATAGAAAAAACACAGGGAAGCGACATTATGGCGGTAGGAAAGTAACTGAAGATGGGATACCAGGTCATATGCAGATTCTTCTTTGGACTTTGTCAAGAATCCCTAGGTACATAACAAAAGCACCAGACCAGACCAGACCAGACCAGACTTAAAAATGTGTAAGATATATTCTGGAAATAAAAAATGTCTAGAGTGACACATTGAACCAACTTTCCTAGCAATGGACCTAGCAACTGATTCAATATAATCGTTCCACTTAATGTCTATAGAAAACGTCAACCTGAGATGGCGTAATGAGTCACTCTAGTCCTTTAAAACTATTAAAAGAAAGCAGTTTCGTTTAGAAGGCGTTAAAATCAACAAGTCATTTCTTAGCCCAGTTAACAACAGATTCAAGGTACTTTTTGTGATCAGCTTCAAATTTGAACTTATCAAGCCTATCAGATTTACCATTAATACAGACGTAGATAGTTGAGTCATCAGCATAGATACCGAGTCCAGACCGGATGGTGGATATTCGTTTTAATGTAAAAAGATCTAAAAGAGTAGAAGACAAGGAGTTATGGTATGTTGGCGTAAATTTTTATTTGATTCAAACTTATCTATTCGCGATGTGAAAGTTGTCTAAAGTTTAGCATAATTGTTAACAGCAGTTGACCTAGAGAAGCGGAAGCCATGTTGATGGTCTGAAAGAAGACCCCGTGAGGTGAGATGGTTCACCAGTTCCGAGTTAATTAGAGCCGCTAGTACATTGCCAAAAAAACTCATAGGTCGATATTTAGAAAGATCAGACAGATAAACAGAGTTCTAAAAAAACACAAAGGACAGAGTCTCGTCGGGGGAAGTAGACAGACCCAATCCCGTTTATGCGGGGTCTACGGGGATATTTTGGCCTCGACATTAAATTCGGCCTTGTGCCACATGTAACTGCGTGGGGCAGTTGCTAGATAGTCTAGCTGGAATCTGTTCTAGCTGTGCTGTCGAACTCTCTGCCTTCGAGCATAGAGCAGCCCAGACGAGGCTATGCCGAAGGGTAGAGTCTCGTCTGGGGAGGTAGACAGACCCGAACCCGTTTATGCGGTTTCTACGAGGAATTTTTGGCCGAGTCTACGGGCTCGGATTGCCCCATATTAAATTCGGCCTTGTGCCACTTCCTACCTCGTTGGGAGGCTGGTAAATATTGTCTAGCTGGATCTGTTGAGTACGACTCAGACTTACGCGAGAACTACCGACCTTCCAATAGTAGCAGTCACTGGCGGATTGACTTGCGACGACCTTATGCATAACTTTTAGCTTTATTCTTGTTGCATTGGTTTTGTACAATAAACCTTTACTTATTTTATCCACCGTGTTTGTCAAGTATATATTCCTGTTAACACGGAATATAACATAAAGATAGAAGACTTTAAATATTGCTGAATAAGCGGCCATATTAGAAATACATTTCAAGAAGTGACTAAGTGCTAAAACAGCCCTTAAATATTGAAACACAATTGATGAGAAAAGGAGATGTATATTAAGATAATAAGCCAGAGCCTAACAATGACGGTTAAGAACTTTTACCTTTATATGGTCATTTCAACAAAAGACAATTTTTTATTTTTACAAATCTCTTACCTTCATTTGTTTTTTCTTCAGTTGCTGCTGCTTCGGCTACACTTCCAGCTGTTGTTTCCAATTCAGTGACAGTCGCTTCATTTGCCACAACCTCTGTCGATGGTTCTGTGGGTTTCTCAGCTTCTGTGGCCCCTGTCTGTTGTGGGATACTCTCTTCTCCCGTCGTTGTTTCTTCTCCTGCCGGGTTAGCGGCTTCAGTGACAGTTTCCACTTCCGGGGCGGCCGCTTCAACAACTTTTTCTACTTCTTTAACAACTTCTTCAGTAGCCTGTTCCACTACTGTCGCATTTTCTTCAGCGACTGCTGGAACAGCCTCTACGACGGTATTATCCACAGCAGCGACAGTCCCTTCGGTAGCTTTCTCCGCAGCCGAAGCTGTTTCTTCAACGACCGTCTCCACTGCCGGAACAGCTTCTTCGACGGTCTTCTCTACAGCTGCTATGGTCTCTTCGGTAGCTTTCTCCGCAGCCGAAGCTGTTTCTTCAGCGACGGTTTTCACTGCCGGAACAGCTTCTTCGACGGTCTTCTCTACAGCTGCTATGGTCTCTTCGGCAACTTTTTCCACTGCCGGGACTGTCTCTTCTGCAGATGTTACCGTAGAAGCAACAGTTTCCTCGGCAGTAGCTTCTGCTTCGGCGGCTGCTTCTTCGGCCGCCTTCTCCACTTCTGTGACAGCCTCAGCTACGGCTTCAACTACGGTAGATTCCGAAATGATCTTCGTGTCTTTCTGCATCTCATTCATTACAGCCGTCGCCACTCTCTCGCTAGTTGCCTCATCGATTTGAGAAGCGACAATATCATCGAGTCGAGCTTCTGTTTCTTCAGCTGTTGTTACCGTGTCCACCGTCGGAGCGTCTTTGATCTCTTCCTGTACAGCGGCCAATGCTTCTTCTGCTTCGGCGTCCACCGCCTCTGCAGCCAGCTCCACATCTTTGACTGCGTGAAGGGTCTCAGATACTTCAGCGCTTACCGGCGCCACCTTCGCTGAAGTTGGCTGAGCTGAAAGTAAAAATAAAAAAATTAAAAACACAATGAATAAATAAATAAATAATTTAAATATCTTCATCATTACCATCATTAGTCTCATGACCGAGTGCGGTCATAGGGTCACAGCTGGGTTGAAAACCAGTGAAGTATTCATTCATGCGTAGCGTGTCACGGCTATTAGACCTGGAGGAGTCCATCCCTCCCCAGGTTAAACTACAGTCGATGTTTTTCAACTTGAATTCTCGTCTTGCTCATGAACACGTGACTGTTGATTCTATCGGAGAAAACCTTTGGCACTGAAGCCCGCCACCCGGCGACCGCGATGCATTGTCTTCACCACCGCACTGATTGCGTATATATAGAACCTGGACCACCCAATTGCACTAGATTGCCGTTGACCTTACAGTAATGTCCATCCGTCCTTTGACAGGTCCTCTTTTCAATTCTATTGGGTGTTTACCCTTCCCTACACCAGAAAAGCCTGGTGGGAGAACTGGTTTAGTCGACGATGACACGTCTATGCAGCAAGTTTTACTGGGTTATATCGTACCAGAAGCACTCGTAAAATGACATGACATTATATATATATATATATATAAATCCAATCCGGGCAATGATTAGCAAATTAGTCCTGTAAGACATTTCCAGTGAGTTGGTTTTTCGATTCCGTTTGATTATTTTATATGCTGTGTCCTTTCAGGAAGTGGACGATTATGGATCTTCAGGACATCCAGTCTTTTTGGTCAATCTCAGTGCTACGCGAGCCATCGTCTGGTGGTATGCGAAGAGTTTCCAGGAAACAAATAGTAGTCACATTCCACGCCACGGGAGACTGCCGGGATATCTGACTCTGTTTCTTTTTTTAGCATTTTAATTTTTGTTTTCTATTTATTATGATTACATTTGTAAATTACTGTATTATAACTAACGAATGCGATATGATGGACATCAAAACAGTGAGCTGAAATATGTATGCGAACACCATCATGATGATGTGGCGTATGACTGTGTAGGAACCACACTGAGAAATACCAAAAGGACATTTTCTACAAAATCAATATCTTATTGTATTCATTATATTTTCTGATTGATGTGGACCCAAAGTTGGGACCACGGAAGGAAAAAACGGAACACGGATTAGAGGTAAGAAAGATATATTAAACAAAAAGGTTACAAAGATAGTGTAAGTGTAAGCGGAGCTTACTATGTGCTAGTGTCCAATATTGATAGTCGTACGCGGGTGATACTACGGTATTAGAATACTCTCTCTCCTCCTCTTCTTCTTCTCTCTCTAGAGTGTTATGTCGCATACTTTATATAGTCCTGGAAGAGTCCATGTTGTAGGTATGTTACGGTCTCACAATACTGATATAAATGAATAATACTACGGATGTACAAATAATATTTTCTCGGATCGTTATTATATAATTATATGGCACTAATATGGCATCGGTCCCTGGTACACTGGGAAAATTTGTTACGTCAATGATGACTGGTCTTAGAATGAATAAGACATCATGTCCTTATGTTTAGTACAGATAGTCTCAAAATGACCCTGAAATATATAAAAAAAATGGATGCAGGCGAACAGCGAGGCTGGATTGGAAAGCTTCTCTCGCTGAGCCCTCGCACATTAAAAAAAAAAACAAAAAAAAACACTTTTAACCTTTTACTGTCCGCCCCTCTTTGTCTTTGTTCTGTCATTCATTAACTTAAACTCATTTACTCACTTGTCTTGCCTTCAATATGTCCTGTAAGTGTTAAACTCTTCAAGCCTACTTTTCTCATAATGTGTCCCAGAAATTTCGTCTATCAGTTTCTGATTTGTTTCTTTGTTGGTCATATTCTTCTCAAAACTTCTTCGTTTCTCACATGCTATGTATAGTGTAACCCGGATATAAGAGAGTTGTCGGGACCGGAGAAGAAGTCTCTTATATCCGGGTTTCTCTTATATCCGGGTTTGGTCTATTTTATATACATTAACACAGGCTCTAATTTGGGACCAGAGAAAATCTCTCTTATATCCGGGTTTCTCTTATATCCGGGTCTCTTATATCCGGGTACATGTACATGTTATTTTCATCATTTCTCGATCGGACCAAATTTCTGTCGTTTCAAGTCTCTTCTTCATCTGAGAGAAGATTTTCCAGCATTCACTGCCACATGTTAATTTTGACGTCCCTAATACCTAGCTCAGAGCTTGCTGACAGCCATACATTCTGTCTTCTTACAGGTAATAATCCTTTCTTCTCGCTTTCTTTTACTACCTTATAAAAGAGGTTTTCAGTTTTCTTTCAGAGTCTATCATTTCAGTGTCATCCGCATATCGTATCTTTCTAAAGAAAAATGAACTTTTACCCGACAGATTTTGACCACTTTAATCGTTATTAAAACTCCAAGAGTGCCCAGTCCCGGGGAACAACTGCTCGCGGCAGTACCACCCTCTTTGTACTAGAGAAGGGGGATCGGTAGTCATATGAATGTCAGGCCAACCGACGCTTGTGGAGGCTGGGAAATTTTTTCCCCGGGTTTACGCGTTCGTATTCTCCACGAGTCACATCACATCGTCGTGGCGAGGTAGGTAAATTTTATTTATTCAGACATCACAAGATTAATGCAAGTTACTTTTGTATTCTAGAATCACAAGAGATGCTCAAAATGGTGGCCTTTAGCTTACAGACATTTATTAGTAAGGCGAATAAGTAACGTTGGCCAAAGTATCCGGTGGGATTACTGCACATGCATTTTCAATTTCTTGTCCAAGGGTCGCCAAGGTAATGCCATCTGTCAAGAAAATATCATACTATAGTGAACAGTGTTATCGCAATTTGATTAAACTACGAAAGAGAATTTTTTTTTCCTTTCCTGAAGTGTGTATACTTTTTTTTGGCGGACTCTATATATATCGGGTGTACCAGCAAAATTGTCCAAATCGTGTAACAGCAAAATTGTCCAAATCATGTAACAGCATAATTGTCCAAATCGTGTAACAGCAAAATTGTCCAAATCGTGTAACAGCAAAATTATCCAAATCGTGTAACAGCATGGGATAATTGTCCATCATGGGAAAATTGTCCATCCTACAAAATCTAAAAAAAAAAAAAAAAAACACTAAACTAATCGAGTTTCTTTTTTTCAGGTATTCAGATAAGACGTTTACCCATTTTGACACCATTTGTCGTAACAATAACTGAAAAAAAACTTTGGGTTATTCAGCTAGAAATAAAACAATTTAAATCGTTTTGTGTCAACTCTACTATGTCTTCCCAACTGAGCAAATGCTGAGTGGAAAAAGATCATTCAAGCCTTCAGTAATGGTACCAACATTCATAGTCTGGCTATCAACTTCAAATTCCATTCAAGAACCATCAAGAGAACAATGAATAAGTTTTAAAAAAAAGAGGGAGCAGTAAAGAGGAAAACTGGATCAGGAGGTCAAAACAGCAAGGGGGATCATCATTTCAACTTAGAGCTAATTGTAATACTAAATTGATTCAGGCATCACGAGATTAATACAAGTTACCTTTGGACTCTACAATCACAAACAAGAGATGCTCCAGATGGTGACTGTTGCCTTTCAGACATTTTTAGTAAGGCGAATTTTTGCCTGAGCAACGTTGGCCAAAGTGCCCGATGGGATTGCGACACATGCATTTTCAATTTCTTGTCTAAGGGTCGCCAATGTAATGCCATCTGTCGAGAAAATATCGCAAGTTATCGCAATTTGATTAGACTACGAAAGAGAAGTTTCTCCTTTCCTGAAGTGTGCAGACATTTTGGTGTACTCTTTATATATATATATATATATATATATATATATATATATATATATATATATATATATATATATATATATATATATATATATATATATATAGTTTTGTGTGTGGTATTTATGGGATAAAGTGTTCACTGTCAGAAATATAGCGTATGAAAATTTAAATATAAAATTGAACATTGAAATCAACACTCCAGAGGCGACAGGCTGTTTCCTGCTAGAAACAATCGTCAGGCCTGCCGATTGCGTCTAGTATGGAACAGCCTGTCGCCTCTGAGTGTTGACTTCAATGTTATATATATATATATATATATATATATATATATATATATATATATATATATATATATATATATATATATTATTTGTGTGTGTATTTAGGCAGCATTTTTTCATTGGTGTATTGCTTAATATATTGCAATGTAATTGTCATCTTTGATAATGGCTTATGTAAGCCGAAAGCTTAGATAGGATTAAAAAATATGTATCAATATTGTGATTTTCTTTCTTCGTTTAATGATAATGTTATTAAGCTTATCAGACGATATGAAAAGAATTTACATAAAATGAATAGACAACACTTGTCTATATTATTTAGTGAAATATATATATATATATATATATATATATATATATATTAGGTGCGTGTAAAATTTTCCAGATTTTTTTTATTCTAGAGACTGGCATTTGCAAAAGGGAGATAACTAGCAACTCCAACAAACGAGCATCTTCAGAAACAAGCTGCCAGCCATTACTTATCTTGATTCGAATACAAAATCTTTATGACACCTGTATTTCTGGCTCTAAATTAATCACCTTTCGTTTAAACTAATCTTAAGTAAGGAATGCATTGAAAACAAGTTTTCTATTATTATTGTTGGGCGTGTTAGCGTGATTCTATGACTGCTTATGGTGATCTAACAAGGAATACCCCCAGGATAAGGTCGTGTAGGTGTACTCGGGTGAAGATCATTACAGAACACCAACAGAGTTAATTACTCCGATGACAGTCACATATTTGTGCGTGTAATGGAAGGCGCGCGCATGCGCGCACACGTAAAGAGACGTTCGTTAAATCACAGTCGTACGCTGTATACGTACGCATCAATGTGTTAAAACGTTCTGTCTTGGAAAGCAGAGAGTGACAATTCTGCCCAGAATAGTTCTGCCAAGAGACGCGCATCTGTTGGCAAAACATCAGAAGACGTCGTATACTTTTTTCCGGCTTTGCTAGCAAGAAAAAAAGAAGAAAAAAAAAAGAAAAAAAAAAGAGATATGTTGTCAAAACTTTACAGTCTCTCTCGTTTTTTTTTACTAGGATTTTTCTTTCTTTCGTTTTTTCTTATGCAATCTTTTAATTTCTTTTCAGAATTTAATTCTCTCTCACACAATCACTTAATTCTTTCTCAGAAGTTTCCTCCATTTTTTCTTTCTTTTGTTCTTTCCTTCTTTTGTTCTTCATTTTTTCTTTCTTCCTTTCTTTGCTTCTCTATTTTTTCTTACGCACTTTCTTAATTTCTTTCTCAGAAATTTAATTCTTTCTTTTTTTCTTTCTTTCTTTCTTTCTTTCTTTCTTACGCAATCATTTAATTCTTTCTCACGGATTCTCTTAAATTTTTCTCAGAAATTTCATTCTTTTTTTTTCTTTCCGGCTTTCTTTCTTTCTTTCTTATGCAGTCATTTAATTCCTTCTCATGCAATCTCTTAATTCTGTTTCAGAAATTTCATTCATTCTTTCGTCTTTTCTTTTCTACCAATTCTATTCTATCTCATAAATTTATTACTCTCCTTTCTTCTTTCTTTTTCTTTCTTTTCTTCTTTCCTTGTTTTCTAACATTTATCAAATAACGATCAGTGTAAAGAAAAATGTAATTTTAATTGTTTTCTCCATCATTAACAGGGCAGAAACGGATTCGTAAAACGGAGCCTCATTTAAATAAACATGCTTCTTCTTCTTCTTCTTCTTCTTCTTCTTCTTCTTCTTCTTCTTCTTCTTCTTCTTCTTCTTCTTCTTAAAGGTTTTGAATTATTGCCCTTTACAAGTCTATGGCGTAATTTTACCGTTGAACCTAGAAATTAAGTCAGTGTAAATCTTTGGCTGATGAAGGGAAAAGAAGAATAAATGCAAATTTTAGGCTGGTTAAGATAAAAGAAGTCCAAAAACATGTACCAAAAAGTCAAAGATTGCATCAATGCAATTCTTTGTTCGATGAAGGGAAAAAAAATCTCCAAATATGTACCAACAATCAAAAATTAAAACAATGTAAATCTTTGGCTGATGAAGGGAAAAGAAGCCTCGAAACATGTACCAACATCCAGTAAACCACATATGAAACAGGTTTCTTTCTTTTTACATCTTTTGTTTTCACGTATTAACCTCACGAAACCTTGGCAAATTAATCCAATGCTCTTCCTTTCCAGCCACGACTAATCCTATGTTTCCGATAAGAAAATCAAACGCGCTTAAAGCTGTGGACATTAAACAAGCTGTGTCCATAATATCGTTCGTAACTTAGGAACAATTAGGTAGGTTTTAGTCAAGATCATTTTGTTTAATGGTCAAGTGTGGTCAAGCAATCTTTTTTATTTAATCAGTATATGTTTGCAAGTAACCGAAATACGATTATTATCATACGATAAATATTCGTAGATAAAACTAAAATATTACATAGGACTCATTTTAAATGGTAATACTAACCGTATTAAGAAGTGTTTTAACAGAGGACGGAAAGTGTGACACTGAGATCCGAAGGCGTATTGGGATGACCAAAGATGCCTTCTCAAAGCTAGGTAAAATACAAAGAAATAGAAAAAACTTCGCTAGCAACAAGGAAAAGAGTACTAAACTGTTACGTGATATCTGTCCTCTTGTATGACAATGATTGCTGGACAATCTCCTCAAAGATGAAGAAGAGACTTGAAGCAAGAGAAACGTGGTTCTACAGAAGGATGCTGAGGATACCATGGGCCGAACATGTGAGCAACGATTAAATTTTTATAGAAAATGTAAACAAAAAGGCAACTTATACTTAATATCAGGAAGAGACAGTTGAGGTTTCCAGGGCACATAATGAGGAAAGAGGGCTTGAAAAATCTGATACTCACAGGACAGATTGAAGACAAGAGAGAGGAAAACAGTGTATGACATACTTAATGAGCTAAATGGATGTCGGAACAGGGTTTAGGAGAAATAACAGAAAGACAAAATTTATCAAAATCTACAAGGGACACGAATGTGTAGGGAGCCATGATCGTCTACGTCCTCAGGGGACACAGCACATAGAAGATAATCGTCATGTATTCGTTTTGGTTTCACTGAATATGACGACACCAGAAATGAGCATCAAGTTAAATATCTTAATTTTTAAATATTTCATTTTGTAAAGATTTTATATTTCATTATATGCGGGCTGTTTCTTTTGTACAATAATATATTCGGGTATTTTTATTTTTTTCACTCGATCGTTAAAAATGACTTCGAGCGTGTGAAGCGTGTAGGTTTTAGCGAGGGCCATCCTTCTTTGCACCCCGTGGACTGGCGTCACAGGATCACAAACAGACGGAAAACGTGACAGTTAAATCCGAAGGCGTATTTGGGATAGCGAAAGATGCTCCCCAAAAGCTAAGCAAAGTATTAAGAAACAATAACATTTCGTTAGAAACAAAGAAAAATGTGCTGAACTGTTACATAATATCGGAAATCCCAAATGGATGTGAATATTAGAAAATCTCCTCACTGATGAATAATCGACACGAGGCAACAGAAATATAACTCTACAGAAGGATACTGAGAATACCATGAATTGAACATGTGGATAACGAGAAAGCTTTTAAAAAAATGAAAACAAAAAGAACACTTATACTTAGAATAAAAAATAAACAGTTGAAATTTCCAAGACACCTAATGAGGAAAGAAGTCTAATGAGTATTTGATACTCAAAGTATATATTGAAAGCAAGCGAGGCTGAAGAAAGCAGAGAATAACGTACATAAGGTTCTTTTGTTAATGGATGGCAGAACAAGGACTGGGAAGGATGGTGAAAAAAAGAAACTTTACAAAGAGGTAAAAAGATAAGAGGTTATGGATGAGCCTAATCATCCACGTCCTGAAGGGACACGGTACATAGAAGAAGTAAAAAAAACATTCCATCTGCGTAGCCCTAAATAAGATGTCTCTCTCTCTCTCTCTATATATATATATATATATATATATATATATATATATATATATATATATATATATATATATATATATATATATATTGAGCATATATATATATATATATATATATATATATATATATATATATATATATAAAGATCTATCTATCTATCTATCTATCTATCTATCTATCTATCTCAGTCTGTTTATATCTAGCTATCTATCTATCGATAGATGTGAGCAATATCAGATAAATAGACAGAGATATCTCCTTTTTCCGTCTATTTTGTTCATATCTGAATATAGATGAGAAGAAAAGATAGATATATGTGAAGAAAATGAGATAGATGTGAGCAAAATTATATATATATATATATATATATATATATATATATATATATATATATAGATAGATAGATAGATAGATAGATAGATAGATAGATAGATAGATAGATAATTTTTTTTCAGCTGGATTTTCAGAAATGTATTATACACACAATTATCTTTTATTTTAAAAGACATTTTCAGAAAATTTATAAAAAAATACTTCGGTTTTTAATTTACATTCTTTTCTTGATAAAAGGAACACGAATTTGTTTTTCTTTGTTAAACTTGTCATAAGGAACATAAGATATTTTAGCGTACACTTTTCTGGTAATATTTCAAAATTCACCCTCAATTTGTCAATATGTATTTGCCGTGACACAATAATTTTACTAAAAATCAAGAGGGCACAAAATGTAAGTCATTTCGACTCTGCACTGAATATCTCATTCAAATAATTTTAGCGAACTTGACATCTTTTTAAATTTTTACTTCATAAAATGATAAAAGTCCATTATTTGAGTGGCAATCCCAAAATGCCTTGTGTAACAAGCCAAGTACAAAGCACCAGTCCCACTGTTACAGTTAATAGTGCAAATTGCAGTGAAAAATCTGCTTACAAAATGTTACTTAAACGTACATATAAAAAATAGGCTCAAGCCACAAAATATACGCATTCTGCATATCTTCCTTAGTTAGTTCATATGTATTTCATTAACCTTCTCATATACTGCTATTCAGTCTGTTTTATCTATCTATCTATCTATCTATCTATCTATCTATCTATCTATCTATTTATCTATCCCAGTCTGTTTATATTGATCTAGCGAGCTAACTATTCACTCTCTATATATCTTCAATTTTTCATAGAATTTCTCTATATATATATATATATATATATATATATATATATAATATATATGGAATAACATATATATATATATATATATATATATATATATATATATATATATATATATATATCAAGAACAGTTTTTTAAAAGATGTATGTCAAATTTGAAAAGGTTTTTGTAAAGCGTTTCAGCCGTTGGGACTTCATCGAATATATATATATATATATATATATATATATATATATATATATATATATATATATATATATATATAGTCTTATATTTATTCCTCACTTATCATACTTGTCTATTCAGTCTCTCTTTGAAGCTATCTCCTTGCTCAGACTATCTATCTATCTATCTATCTATCTATCTATCTATCTATCTATCTATCTATCTATACCAGTCTGTTTATATTGATCTAGCTAGCTAACTATTCTCTCTCTATATATCTTCAATTTTTCATAGAATTTCCTCTGTATATATATATATATATATATATATATATATATATATATATATATATATATATATATATATATATATATATATATATATATATATATATATATATCAAGAACAGTTTTTTTAAAAGATGTATGTCAAATTTGAAAAGGTTTTTGTAAAGCGTTTTCAGCCGTTGGGACTTCATCGAATATATATATATATATATATATATATATATATATATATATATATATATATATATTATATAGTCTTATATTTATTCCTCACTTATCATACTTGTCTATTCAGTCTCTCTTTGAAGCTATCTCCTTGCTCAGACTATCTATCTATCTATCTATCTATCTATCTATCTATCTATCTATCTATCTGTTATGATCCAGACTGATGACG